GCATGAGACGCAGGTGAGCGCGCCTCCGCCGCCCGGTTCGCCGGCGACGGATCGGGTCCGAGTGGAGGTCGTCCTCCCGGGCTTTCTCCGCCGCCTCCATCTGCGAGATTACCTCCTCGCAGAAGGTTGCGACCGTCGCTACCGCCCATGGAGCGAACTACGGCCGGTAGCGAGAGATCCGCTCCGATGACTGCAGTGAGGGCCCGGCGCTGCGTCGCCAGCCGTCGACCGCCAGCGTGTGCTGAGCCGAGTCCTCACTGCAGTCGCAGTGGTGGCAGGCGGGACTCGATTCCCTCCTAGCGACCGAGTGCAGGTACTTGGCGAAGCAGCCGTGCCCGGAAAACACTTGCGTCAGCCGGAAGGAAAGGGTCCCGTGCTGCCGCCCTGCCCGCTCGGCGATGACCGGCTGGAGAGCCTCCACGGCGGCGAAGCCAGCGCGTGGAGTCTCCAGCCGGAACGACCATCTCACCATGGTGGCTCGGCGAGCGGCTTCGCGCCACTCGCGCACGTCTTCGGGCGGAGGGCGAAATCCGCTCTCCGCCCGGAAGTCAGCCACTCGCCGATAGACTTCGGCGAGCACTACCGCCTCCAAATCCCACTGGGGTGTTCCGGCCAAGGCGCAAGCCGCCTCGGTGGACACCGTGCGGTATCCGCGTATATATCTGAGCCCGGACCGGTACGAGGACCGAGCCGACCTCGATTGAGGCGCCGGCGGTAGACCACGACGGGGCCCATGGAATAGTAGAGCCTGCCTCTTATCCAGGGCCTCCCGGAAACTCCCGTGGCGGCCAGGCGTGCCGCCTCCTGGAAGTTAGCCCCCCGGGCTGTAACTAAGGTGTCATCCGCGTAGCAGATTACACCCAGCCCGGGGGGGAGACGCCCTTGCAGGGCCCAGTCGTACCCCATATTCCACAGGAGCGGTCCTAGGACAGACCCCTGCGGAACACCGCACGACATGGCCCTGCGTCTCAAGACGCCATCTCGATCCTCGTACATGACGGTTCGCTCCTCAAGATAGTCTGCCACTAGCCGCCCCAGGTACTCTGGCACTAGCGGAGCGCTTCCCTGATGCAGCTGAATGGCAGACTATTGAAGGCGACACCACTCCGCCGCAGCTCACGGCCTCCTCGGTCACGGCCCTAAGGCGCATCACGGCATCGATCGTCGAACGCCCCTCTCGGAAACCGAATTGGGCGTCCGACAGATCGGGGCCAACCTCGCAAAGGTGCCGGACGAAGGAGCCATCGACGGGGGTGTGTGCTCCACCCGCTGCGGGAATAGGCCCTCGACCACTTCCTGCAGGAAGCTGGGCTGGAGAGTCTCCGTAAGGGGGGGGGGGGGGGGGGGGGGGCGACGTGCGGAGCTTTTGACGCAGACTTGACACAAACCCTATACCAACCCGTCTGGCCAGCGTGGCATAATAGGCCAAAACCTCCTTTCCAAGGAGAGGCCTATGTCCAGAGGACTATTAAAGGCTTTTGATGTGATGTGATGAAGACCTATAAGGGTATACACCGAGGTAATGCGGGTTATTTTAATTTATCATGATTTAGATATGTTATAGTTGGATATGCCTTTTTTTAAAGTTTGAACAATAATAATTAGAAAATTGCATATGTGGCTTAGGGTTTTGACTGTAATTAATAGTCTTGGACTTGAATATTCTTTGTACCCCATTTTAAACGAATATAGCGCACGAAAAATTTTATCTAAAGTGCTTAATATTTATATGTAGAAGAAGTGCAATAAGCTAAAAAATTTAAACAATACGTGTTATTTTATGTATATGTAAGAATGACGAAGAAACGGAAATAGAAAACAATTTATGTCCAGTATAGATTTGACCTGTCATGGTGCAAAAGTCTATTCAATGACAGTTTATATTATATTGGTCTTATAAAAAAAAACATGCAAAACGGTCGAATATCGATTGTCAGGCGATCTCTAGTAAGTAATATGTAAAATTTAAATTTATTTTATAGTTTCCGGTACGGAGTTATCGATCATATTAAACAGGTTATATAACTATACCGGAGGAGCTTCTTTTTTAACCAACTTCAAAAAAGGAGGAGGTCCTATGTTCCACTGTATGTATTTTATTTATTTTTTATGTATGTTCATCGATTACTTCGTCAATTGTGAACCGATTTTCAAAATTCTTTTTTTTATATTTAAAAGTTTGACTTTTCTTTTGGCAATGAACCTTTTATTTCCTACATCATGTTCAAGAAAGAAGATCTATTGTAAAAGTTTTTAATTAAAATTTATACAATACTTTTTTTATCGTTTTCGAGTATTCTTTTAGAAGTTACAAAAGTTTTGTTAAGGTAATTTAAAGCATAATTTTTGTTATTATTTTAAGTATTGTAAACTCTCTCTAATCTTTTGTTTTTCGTTTTTAACGATATTCAAATTTCGTCAGATCGTTTCGCTAGTGATCAGAAACGATAGGTGGATGTGTTATTATACTCAAATAAAAATATGTGAAATACTTTAACCTATGTTAAAGTATTTCACATATTTTTATTTGATTAGTTTTATACAGATTCAATGTAAAGTACCTAAACTATAAAAATTATATTAATAAACGTAAATTTAAAATATATGAATAGGTATTCTCCTAAAGCACGCAGGACTATCGTGAAAATTGGTTAATCAGTGAAACCTTTTATAAAACAGATCAACTTACAATTAATTGCCTCTTTCAGCTCAAACAACTTAACCTTTTTTAGTCAATCAGTCAATCATGTGTTTACCTAATAATACACGTTTTATTTTAGTTCAAAAGTATGTTATAACTAAATACTCTGTAGCTGTTATTGGCTATACCGAAAGCGATATAAGCTTTTGTTCATTTTAAGCTTTCAAACACACTGTGTCTTTATGAATTGTCTTATTATTAGTTTTGACTGGAATTTACTTAGCTGTTAAGATGCCTTTTGCTACCGCTAGATCTCCCAGATTTTTAATAGAAAACCAAATGTAAGAACCAATAAGATTGTTTTGTATTACAAAACAATGTTATTGGTTCATTGCAATATTCAATTTGCATTTGCATTTGCATTGAATATTTCATTTTTATCGTGCATTATTAATGCACGATAAAAATGAAATATTCGATATAAATATATGTTTATTTTTTACCAGTTTTATGGAAAATCGGTAATGATTATGATCGCTTGACAGATTCCGTTAGAGCATTCCACATACGCGAAGCTTATATCGTGAAAAATTTGTCATATAAAATATGGAACGCGTTGAAATTTCTAATGTTAAGTTCGAATGCTGAAAATCCCAAGTATTTTATATGAGTGTCATTTAGAAATGCGAAAGGAATGTTTAAGATAAAGCTGTAGCATTCCTAAACAAGATATTATAGAGACGCAAACGAATGTGAATATTACAGCAAAAGCAAAACAAAAACCACTATAATTTAGTTCAGAATTCATACCCGTGGTCATACATTGAATGCACGAATGGCATAGTGGTTTAAGCGGTTACTTCGCCGCTTCCTACTCCACTGAGTGTTGTTGGTACGATCCCTACATGGGACAACACTTCGTGTGATTCACGAATTGTTGTTTTGAGTCTGGGTGTTCTTTGTGTCCGTTTCATATGTGTTTGTTAAGTCCTCCGCTACACAATATATATTCCTAGTGCGGGAGTTGTATTAAAAATGAAAGTTTACGCAAGTCCAAAATAAATTTTATGAAGTATATTACGAAGACGTATGAATACAAGTTAAATGTTAGTAACAGTTAGAAGAAGATAAGTCATTCTCGTTTATGTATAGGAACTATAGATATGTAGATATAGAGATTTTATTATGAAACGAATTTTATATCAGCAATTCCAGAGGTAAGTTTGATTTACAACCTTCTGCGGACTTAGAAGGATTCATAAGTATGTAGACTGCCCACTACCCACATACTCATTTATCTCATTCATCAGTTCACACTGTGTACCTCCTTAAGTTGTATAGCAGAATATTTTAAAATGATAGGTGTTTTTGTGTCCGTTTCATGTATATGTGTAAAGTACCCCACAACACTAGATATACTCGTAGTGTGGGAGATGTCTTTAAAAGAAATTACTTTTGCAGGAAGAAAGTAATAGGTTAGAAAAAATATAAATCAATATTGACAAAACGCTACTTTGTGGTAAATCAAAAGTACACAGTATTTAATATAAGAACATCTCTACAAAATTCTTACAAATCTATTAAACGAATTTTTAGGTATTTTCTCCTAATAGTTTTTTTTTAGTAAAGTAGGGTATCTTACGTCTTTTCCTTGAATTCAACTGTAGATAGTGTTTGAATAAGATTGATATTTACGCTCGAGAGGCTCACTGATTCTGTTACAGGTAATCGTAATCGTAATGTTTTGTATTGTAAAAATAAGGCGTAATAACACGATTGAACAAATTGAGACAGTGATAATTCTCCCTCTATATGAGTGTTTTTAACTTTAATGGAAAATTCTATCGCAAGGGATTAGTTGTAAATTAGTGTAATTAAGATCAAAGTCTTTTTAAAGGCGAGATAAGAGGATTTGACAGCTATTGTGACATTGATTGAAGCTCAATGGGTTTTGGTGCTTTTGACCTATTCTTTCAGTTTCACTTGGCCTGTTTTCATGACCATTTATCAAAACTTCGCCCACATTTATATAAAAAGAAGAAGGAAATAGGAGAATTTAATTATTTTTGCAGTCTAAATCAATGTACTTTAAAACGTTATTACTTTTAAAAACTCCTCCATATTTCATTTTATTTATTACAGATCCATATCCATATTAATATAAATACCATTACTTTTCAAATTTTGACAAAACATATTACGCATAAACACAACGTAGTTTTTGGGTTGAATAAACCTCTATACAAACACAATAAACACATGTAATGTTGTGATAAACAATATTATTTACATTTCATTATATATACGGTGCATACGGAAAGTACAATACGCAATAACCAAAATCACATAAGCTACTCACCCAACCGAATCATTTTACGCTTCGACATTGTCACTTCACTTCATTTCCAACGAACAATAAAAACGCACCACAATTGTCTCCGATAGTATAAAAACTGAAAGACGTTCCGTAAGGCGGCTGTTATCATGCGATCTGACGTAAAGGCGATAAAAATATAGACGTAACTGCAATGTGTTGTCAATGGTGGTTAGTAGACAACAGCATGCGGGCGGCGGTAGGGTCAAATTGAAGCATCGGCTTTAGATAAGGATTTATTTTTAAGTGTTGATGTTCGCGGTGTTTGCCGGTTTCGGTTACTTTTGACGGTTATACTACAGAGTACAGAGATATGATTTAATGGGATGACTAGGATTATGTCAGTAAAGTCCATGTACTGACCAAACGAGGTTTGTAAAAGAAGATAAGAGATAATTTAAGTATATTTATAAAAAAAAAAAATAGTGCCCTAATTTAATGCTATAAAACTAAACGTAAACCAAGTTTCAGGAAGGTCTAAGAAGAACTAAAGCTATAGGAAATTATAAATGTTCTGATTGGTATGAATTCAAGAGCTAGGTGTGCAACGGAAACGAACGGAATTAAAATTTAAAAGAGGTTGATTTCCTTAGTTTACTTACTAGTGACATTGGAGAAGGACCCTTGTTTCTTACCTGAAAAAAATAACAGAATGAGATTACCATAATATACGATATAATAATATATTATCTAGTTCCTGTTAGAGCAAAAATGAAGTGTCACCGTGTAGGGTTTTTACTTTTCCTTGATATATGTAGTTATAAGAATTCGTTTCATTTAGATTTTTAAAGAGGCAATAGTTTAACACTTCACGGGCTGAGTGTTGAATCACCAGTAAATATTTTTTGTGAAGTTATTAAAGAGAACAATACAAATTTTAAAACTACGGAAATTGTCACTCGAAGCTAAATCTATAAATGTAAGAAGTGTTGTAAGGGGTTATTGTTATCTGAATTGGTTTAGAGTAAGGAAGATATCTAGGCAGATCCGATGCAGCAGTAGAAGGCGACAGGTCACGGTGGCAAAAAAGTAAGCACACAGACCGACCACTTGTTTCATAATTGCTGTAAAACCGCTGTTATTACGATAATGACTTATAATTTGTTTAATGGACAAATTAAAATTTTGTTTTTTAATTTACGAGACAGTGAGATTGTTGAAATTTTTTCATATAAATCAAAGCTTGTATGAGACAAAGTAAATAAATATAAAAATAGGTAAAAACTTCTTTAGGCGCGTTGGGCATTTTTTAACAACAAACAAAATAATGTATTTTTTGAGATGGGAAATAAATATTGAACCTGCGACGCTGTTACCGTTACTGACACCTCTGTACATAGGTATCTACATATATTGGCCCTGTCTGCATGAGAGTTTAGTTTGGCTTGAAATACATTTATAATATAACTATATATCGTATAAACTATATACGTACAACATAGATATATATACGTGTCGTAACTTTTCGAATCATGAAATCAAATCTTTTCCTGTTATCATCAAAAATTTAAATTTCCAAGTTTTTACTTCTGTCGGCACTCCCGTATTGACGAAAGTCTTAGCTTACCATAGGGTGACCCGTCTGCTTGTTTTCCCCCCTACGCCATAAATAAATTTCTTTGTGTCTGCACACACTCGCAATACCAGTAGTGTAAATTGTACTTTGTCAAACCATTCCCCTTTACTAAATTCCAGGGTCTCTACTCAGCAGGAAGAAAATGCTACGCCAGTAGAATCACTTAAGTGAGATCGAGTTCAATTCCTATGTCAATAAAATAAAAATATTATATTACAATTCTATTCTAATAAAACACGGCTTGTAAAAAAGGACCGGGTTATAGAACACGGATTTATCAAAACATACTCTTAATAAGAAATTTGAGAAATCTCACACACGATCTTGTGCGAGAGTGTATTAAATAAATACCTATCTAAAAATTACTCTCAGATATTAAATTCTTTTCTCCTTTTTATTTACCTTTTAGGGTTCGTAGTTCTAACAAGGAAGCCTTATTCATAATTTCGCGATGTCCTATCAGCGGATTCTCTGTCTGCTCGTTCTTAAGGACCGTTAATACTAGAAGGCTGTAATTTTTCATGAGTACATTGCATAAAGCGGAGTTCTGGGGTTTTAAGAGAAAATATTGCAAAAATTAGGTTCTCAGGGTGGGTACCTTAACGTATAATGGGATTTTTTCTGTCGTCTATCCCATAGTGATGTATCATTGGATAGATCTTTCAAACACTAAAAGTGTGAAGATTAGATGCAAATAGTTAAATTTTAAACTGTTGTGACCAGTTTAAGTTGAAAATTATGTAAATGATTATTGAATTTAAAACAGCAGATTATCTACTTAGGCATACGCATGAAATAGCTAGATTGGGTACATTTTATTTCATCGACCTTGCCATTGATATTCCGATACGTGCGATGCATCCGTTCTACATTACATCGTTATTTAATAATATGGCCATAACGTAAAAATAAAAAAATATAACCATACAGGAAATCGATTGAATTATGTCTTGATGTTATGTAAAGTTCTATAATATCACGACTCTATCTGTTTCAAGATCTAAGAAGTTTTATATTGCTAAAATACTAGAAATATAGCCTACCTACCCTTTAAACGTTGGTTATTTTGGGAATCAGTATGATTAGCTCAGGTCAGTTTGCGCTGGCCATGGTGAAAGGCGGAGCCACCATGTTTTTAGACCTAGGATAACGCTAACTAAAATTGTAAATGAGAAAGTGAGTTTGTGTATCTGTTACTAATTAAATTACTACTCAATCATCTTTATTTTATTTTTATTTATTTATTTTATTTTAAATCTTCATGCACTTATGTACATCGGCGGACTTAATGCTCTTGGCATTCTCTACCAGTCAACCTTTAGGTGGTGTAGAAATCTTGTAGGGCAATAATTGCGCCTTACAACCTGTCAGTAAGTGTCTGGCTGTACCTATTTCTGCACTGCACATCGTACAAGCCTGTTCTGTAGCTTTTCCCCACTTTACTAGGTTGCTTTGATCGGGGAGAGTCAATTGAAAGGCATTGAGGTAAAATTTTAACAGGGCAGGTGAACAATTTATCAAAGTGTGCGCTATTTCAAAGCTAGTGGGATACAAAATTCTCCAAGAGTTAACCATACATTTTGTATTTCTAGGTTTATTGCGTGCACCTTGCGGGTCTCGTTTTCATCTTGTTGTAGGAAAGATTCTGTTATACCTTTGTCGGTCTATCTTATAGCATTTCCCGATCCAACTCTACTGGACTGCGTAACCACCAGGAATTTCTTGAGGAATTGGAGCCGTGACTCCAGCTCTTTTGTATTTTTGTCTTCTGGAAGGGATCTAGCGATTTCGTCTTGTGATTTTGACAAGACATGCCATTTGGAAACTCTTAGGTGTCTGTAGAGTTCCAAAGGTCTTTTTAATTTCTTTCCAAAGTTATTCGAGACCCTGTACAACGTTGACGGGTTTACAGATGTTGCTAGCCCGAGCCACGACTTTAATGTCTTAGTGACTTTCGCGTCGATACTTTAATACTTTTCAAAAATCGATGTAAAACCCTTTAACGTACGAGTATTACGAGTAGGTAGTACTGTGTACTTAAATTAAAAAGAAAATAAAATTGTTTATAAAAGTAAATTATTTGTGAAAGTAAATTAATAATAACTCATAACTTTAAAGCAAATACACTGGATTTTGTCAGATTAGATAGATAAATTTAAGAAAATGTAGCGCAGACGGGAGCAAGCAAATCCCATGTATAGTTGTTTAAATACATACCTCTCCCGCCTGCCAGAGTATAGAAGTTGCTATTTATGTTATGCAGTCGAGTTTTATATATATTTTGTGTTCTACGTCGTTCTTGAACTATGTAGTAAACACTTCAAGAAGCCAGACGTCTTGAATTATTGCTGAAGCGCATCGAATTGAACCCAATTTTAAAAGTCAAAATAAATAAATAAAAAAGTCGGAAAATAAATACCCCGGAGTAGAAGTATATTTTGAGTGGAATACATTAAAAAGGGGTACTTGAATAATACCACTGGTATTCTAGAAGTAATTATTCCACTTCAGAAACAAACGAACTATATTCGTCAAACAGAGACATAACACGAGGAAAAAGCAATCTTAAAATAGCGTTTTACAATCACTGATCATCAGTGCTTCATTCAATCTCTATTGGTATTATTTAGAGCTGTATTGCTTTCGTCGGGTTCAGTGTTCCGGCCTGAATGGAGTTCTAAAATGTGACGGACGGCTAACACTTAACTCATTATCGTTGGGTAATTCTGCCTACATAGAAATAAACAGACTGTGAGTTGGTAATGTCAAGGATTTGTAAATGGATTAGAGATGTCAGCTGTGCTCGAATTGGCGTTAATGGGTGGCGCGTAACTGTGTTAGTGTTGTTTTTGTTTGAACGTCTACTGAATTCCGTGATTCATAATAAGGATGAGTAATTGGTGTACGACAGACTCGAAACAAAAACAATTTTGTTTAATTATTTTAAGTTATATATATTGTGAGTTCAGTCTGGGTGATAAGCGCACGATAGAAACTATAAATACAAGAGTATAACTATAAATACAAGTCACAATATAAGTATAATATAGATCTATTTCATACCTCAAATATCATTTTGTTGTTTTTTCCTATTATGTTTAAATCTTTAAAACACCTATAGTTTTTTTCAGTTAACTTCATTTAAATATAATACTAAATCTTCTTTTAGTATTAGTTTCAAAAAGAGGTATCAGTTTTGAATATAAAATTACCACAAAAATATAACCGTATTAGGATGTGCTAGAAGTTAGAGGCGTGGCTCTACGTGAAATCTCATAACATTTTGACAGCGCGAGTCAAATGGTCTAAAACTATAAAAATACAAATTAAAATTAAAAATCATACACTTCTATAACTATAGCAAGAAGTGTCGGTAAAAGTCTTGTTACACATTTTTCGGTCTCGCTCCTATCCGGTCAGGTCTTGGCAACATTTTA